TGGCTCTGCAACTCCCTGACAGGAGGGGGGAGCCGGGGGGGGTCAGGTTCTTTTCTCAAAAAAAAAAACAAGCAGCAGGACAAGAGGAAACAGCCTCAAGTTGCACCAGGAGAAATTTAGGTTGGATATTGGGGAAAAATTCCTCCTGGAAAGGTTTTTCCATCCGTGGCACAGCTGCCCAGGGCGGTGGTGGAGTCCCCATCCCTGGAGGGATTTAAAATCCCTGTGGATGTGGCCCTTGGGGACATGGGTCAGTGGTGGCCTTGGCGGTGCTGGGGGATGGTTGGACTGGCTGATCTCAGAGGGCTTTTCCAACCTAAGGGATTCTGTGATTGCAAATCCGAAGGAATGTTGGATGTAGTGGTTCGACCCCACTCAGTTGCTGCTCACCCTCCACCTCCTCAGAAGATCTGGAGGGATTTAAAATCCCTGTGGATGTGGCCCTTGGGGACATGGGCCAGTGGTGGCCTTGGGGTCAGTGGTGGCTTTGGGGGAACAGTTGGACTCGATGATCTTGGAGGGCTTTTCCAACCCAATCAATGGGTCAGTGGTGGCCTTGGGGGACAATTGGACTCGATCTCGAAGGGCTTTTCCAACCTGACCAATGGAGTGATTTTATATTTCAACTCAATCCTGAATTGGGATAATTTGAATTCCCTGAATGAACCTTTCCTCTTTTCCAGGGCGCCCGAGAAACCTTCGAGAGCTACTACAGGAAGCAGAGGAGAAAACAAGCCCGGCTGGTCCTGCAGCCTCCTTCCAACATGGTACCTCCATCCCTGCTCCCTGGGGCATCCCAAAAATTCCCAGTGGCTCTTGGGCCACCTCAGTTTTAATCTTGATCCCCTCTCTCTTCCTTGCAGCACGAAACCTTGGACGGCTACAGGAAGTATTTTAATCAAATTGTAGGGTAGGTGTTCTTTTTATTCCCTTTTTATTCCCCCCCCCAAAAAAAACGGGAGAGGATGAGGAATGTTGGTATTTTTCGTGGTCCTTTAGTCCCAAAAGAGGGAAATGAAAGGTGGTCTGTGCTTTTGAAGTGTTGCAGAGTGGATTTTATGGCACCAATGGGAGCGTGGAGGGACCTGCCAGCTCTTGGAGCAGCCAGTGGATTTCTGGGAATTTCTGGGAATTCAAGGATAATTCCCTCTGTGGGCTCTCTGCACCTTCTTGCCCCGCTAATGAGGGGAACAGGCCCTCTGCCTTAATTATCCTTGCATATTTAATAGTTATTCTGTGATGATTCTCCTTGGAAAGGAGGTGATTCTCAACCCCCTGGTCTTTATTATCGCTCCCAAATTTCACAAGAGTCTTCCAAACCCATCCCAGCTCCCAGAGGAGACTTCCAAAGACTCTTTAATCCATCAAACCCGGGGGATAATTGGATATTTTCATCACCACACGTGCTAATAATTTCAGTATCTAATTATCACCATCACAAATCCAGTGCTGGGCTGGATTTCCCCGGCAAAACACCCCTGAGATTTTTGGGGTTTCGGGGGTTTAAAACATCCTCTGTCACTCTCCCTCCCTAAAAACAGGGGTTTTTGGAGCAGCACATTCCAGAGCTGGGGGTTGGAGTGAACTCCCTGGCTCTAAATTGTTGTGAGGGTTTGGGATATCTGGGTGGGAGAGAGGATTTTTCCCTCCACTTAAAACATTTTTCTCTGGAGTTAAAACATTTTCCCCGTAAATAAATCCCTTTTCCCTGTAAATAAATCCCTTTTCCCTGTAAATAAATCCCTTTTCCCTGTATATAAAGCCCTTTT